ACACACACAGCTGACTGTGTCCTCAGAGAGATCACTGCTGGTGCTGATGGCAGGTTGATCAGTGCTGCTGCAGGTTCTTGTTCTTCAGCTGATGATGATGTTGTTCTTCCTCCTGCTGTTTTTCCTCTGGAGTGTGTCTGCATGTGCCGAGGCCGGCGTCCGTCTGTCTGTGTGTGTGCTCGGTGTTCAGAAGGCAGAAAAGCGGACACACACACTGGTGAAGCAGGTAAGACTGAAGCCGGAGTGAGGAAGCAGCGGTCTGAGATGTGTAGAAAGTCAACAGGAAGTCTAATTCTGACTGAGATCCAATGTAGGCCTGTTTTACTGCAGTGCTGCTCGTCCATTAGTACAGTTACAGTTATTAAAACACAACTGCTTAAATAGGCATGATTCATATTTATTTACATTATCCTGATCTGTGGACTGTTCCCACACACACACACAAACTAATGGCGGCGTTGTCTTGCTGTTCTTTGGTGTATGTAGCCATGTTCTTGATTGTATTTTTATTTTTCAGAGATGTTAAAGTTGCAAGACAGCCCGTTTATGCCACCTAATAAAAGATTTCGAAACCGTTAATGGCACGTTTGATCTCAGAAATCTGACTTAGTATGGCAAGCTTAATCTATAACCCATACTAGTATCTATTTTCAAGTTACTAGTGCTTATTCAGTACATACTAGTGTCTATTCTGTAGATACTAGTGTCTATTCTGTACATACTAGTGTCTATTCTGTACATACTAGTGCTTATTCAGTACATACTAGTGTCTATTCTGTAGATACTAGTGCTTATTCTGTAGATACTAGTGCTTATTCTGTAGATACTAGTGCTTATTCTGTAGATACTAGTGTCTATTCTGTAGATACTAGTGCTTATTCTGTAGATACTAGTGCTTATTCTGTAGATACTAGTGTCTATTCTGTAGATACTAGTGCTTATTCTGTAGATACTAGTGCTTATTCTGTAGATACTAGTGTCTATTCTGTAGATACTAGTGTCTATTCTGTAGATACTAGTGCTTATTCTGTAGATACTAGTGCTTATTCTGTAGATACTAGTGTCTATTCTGTAGATACTAGTGCTTATTCTGTAGATACTAGTGTCTATTCTGTAGATACTAGTGCTTATTCTGTAGATACTAGTGTCTATTCTGTAAATACTAGTGCCTATTCTGTAGATACTAGTGCTTATTCTGTAGATACTAGTGTCTATTCTGTAAATACTAGTGCCTATTCTGTAGATACTAGTGCTTATTCTGTAGATACTAGTGTCTATTCTGTAAATACTAGTGCTTATTCTGTAGATACTAGTGCTTATTCAGTACATACTAGTGCTTATTCTGTAGATACTAGTGCTTATTCTGTAGATACTAGTGTCTATTCCGTAGATACTA